TCGTTTTTAATACATACCATAGTACAATAAAATTCACATGGTATGGCACATAATGTTCCAAAATCGGTTCGCTTCGCGCACGACGTAGTCAAGATCCCCTCTTCGCGCAAATTTGAATGCAGTTGTATAGGAAAGACTTTTAATTTTAAATTTTTAATATAATTTGGCTAATTTATTTATAGTACTTATAAGGAAATGATAAAGTTGTGTTTTTATAATATTTAATCATAAAAAATAAGTTGTATCTAATTTAATTTTATTGATTTTTGGGTACAGATATTTTAGCGAGGTTCTGAAACTGTTATTTTATTTTGTTAACATAGGTATTCTTTATAAAACACGTTTTAATTATGTTTATTATACATACAGGTTGAACAACTGCTACTCTAGAGTTCCATATTTCAGTTGTTTAAAAAGATACAAAAAAAAATTATATAAAGAGTTTTGGGTCTTCGCTAATCGACAAAATGGAATACATATCACCACAATTTCATTCTCTCTTAGTGGCCTAGCTACCGCAGCATGTTCATTTTTATAGACCTACCAATATTAGGCTCAAAATTGTAGCGTCTATGTCATAATCCGTTTCCCTGCACGCCTTTATAAATGTCCCATTTATACATTCAAAACAACCCAAACGTTCTTCATCACTTTTTGTCATCATCCACGTTTCTGACCAACTAGATTAGAGTTCTATATACATATCAATATTTTCGTTCTTTTTGTGACTGTTTGACGTTAAGTTTCTTTAATCCATAGTACGTTCTATTTGCTAGATATATATGTCTGTTAATTTCTGCAGTTACTGTATTACTTTGGTTGATTTGAGCCTAGATATGTGAACTCTTTTACTCCTTCAAAAGTATATGTTGCAGCTGTTAGATCTTTGGGTTTTCCTAATGACAGTAGTGGGTCCAACGGACACAAGAAGTAGTTAACAGATCCAACAGAAGTTCGTGTTAGTACTAAGCACATCCTAGTTTGGTCCAAATGTCACGCTGCTAAACACCCACCGATGATAATTGAACCTTCATTGGATGTCTGGTGGACTTACTTGTATTAAAGTATTTTGGGAAATAAAAAATAAATTTTTAAAGAAACTTTATTACATATTACATTAATTTATTATTTTAATTATAAATACTATCGGCTCATGAGATCAATACACAAGGATCACCTGAAATTTTTTACAATTAGTTAATTTGATAATAACACGCCAATTCGCAAAACTGCCCAACTGGTCTAGAATAATACGAAATAATTTTATGTCATGTGCATATGCTAAGACTTTAGTCACTCAATGATGTGATAGCATCATCAACAAAAACTTCAAAGAGAAGAGGTAGGTACCAAGTTGGCATTTTGGACCACTTCAGAGGAAAGTATTCAGTTAATCATTCAAGTAAAATCCTTTTGAAATTATCCTTTCTACAACAGGATATTATCCACAGTTTCCTGACCACACTATCTTTAGGAAACGTATGAAACCTTAAGGTTTTATCTTTATTGTCACTATTACAAGTAGCAACTGCACAGCGCATTTTGAAATAGTTACAAAATTTCACAAAAACAAACAGATACACGAAAGCAAATAAACGAGTAAATGTTCTTAAATCAGTGTATACAGACTATAACACATATATACTATCCAAAAAAACAATAATATCGCTAAAAACAGATGAAAAATACGAGTTTTGCAAAAAAATCCACTACACAATATAGTAATAAAGTCGGTTCGCTATTCCCAGTCCGAACTGTCTAGTGAATTTAGTAATTATTTTTTTGCGAAGTTAGTTACTTTTGACAGACTAAAAGTGGCTGGAAATTACTATACAACCAAGCATACGTACCCATATCCAATATTAATAGTAAACAAACTAAATAGTAAATAAAATAGAACTTTGCGAATTACCGACAATCGATATTTATTTATCTGCACAATATATTAAATAGTTATGTTAATTTATAACAACTAAAATATATTTTTAAAATATATAGTACCCAAAATTTAATGGGTTTAGTATACACTTCCACTATTTAGAATAATTCTTCTTTTTTTCAAAGAAAGAAGTCTGCAATAGTAGTATACTTGAGCTATTAATACTGAGAAGTAGGAATTGTTGTGTTGTAGGTTTCCTACAATGAGTCTGTCAAAATATGCCCTAGCTAAGCGAATAGACAATACAATTACAAATAATGGCTCACAGGGACCTTTGCTACGTCACACCCGCTTGACCTCAGCTGTCAAATGTCATGCGCAAGATTCTACCATGAGAGTTTATTGTACCATGAATACATACGTTAATATGCTCATAGCTTCTCCATAGATTCTAACTCGAAGTTATAGCTTCTCCATAGATTCTAACTAGATGATTGATACATACAAAAAACTGACATTTCGAACGTCAAACTCTCCAATGACGTCACGACTTCTGCGCAATATCTTATCTTCTTAGTCTTAGCCATCGAGCAATAAGACAAAAGAGGGAATCTAATCCTTATGAAAAGGAGACCAAAAAAGTGGCCTCTGATGGCGGACATATCCGGAAATGCGAATGCGCGAAATTTAAATTTTCCGACACTTATCAACAGTAGCTATATAATATTTTTCAGAATGTGTCTTAGACGAGAAACTTTTAATTAATTATTAATGATAAGAGTCTAAAATGCGACACAATTGTTAAAAAACTTCAATATAAATAAGATTTCATGTGACATTTGGGACAAACAATGACGTATAATATATAGACTCGGCGAATGCTTTAAAAAGTGTCCAAAACATGAATACCTTTGTTATTGTTTATTGTTTTGATACGAAGATGCACGAAGTTCATGATTTCTTACGAAGCATCACGAAGTTGATCTTGTGTTTGAAAACATCATGGACGTATGAAAAGCATTTGAAAAAAAATTTTATTTTAAATTGTTGAGAGTTATTTACTTACTATTTTAGTAAAATGCCATACTATTTTATCAAAATAATTATTTCTCTTATAGACGGGAACAAAAAGAAATCATAAATATTTAATTTTAATTAAAAAAATAATTATTGTCATTAATATATAAATCAGCACGCCGCTGTTGTGATAAACATACCTTCAACCTTGAGCCGAGATCTTTCGGACACTCGATTCTATAGCGAGAATAGGGGACTGCGTAGTCTATATATTATACGTCATTGGTGACAAACAATGACGTATAATATATAGACTCCGTGAACGCTTTAAAAAGTGTCCAAAACATAAATACCTTTGTTATTGTTTATTGTTTTGATACGAAGGTGCACGAAGTTCATGATTTCTTACGAAGCATCACGAAGTTGATCTAGTGTTTGAAAACATCATGGACGTATGAAAACATTTTCTCCATTTTGTGTGACAAGCAAATTTTATTTTAAATTGTTGAGAGTTATTTACTTACTATTTTAGTAAAATACCATACTATTTTATCAAAATAATTAGTTCTCTTATCGACGGGAACAAAAAGAAATCATAAATATTTAATTTTAATTAAAAAATAATTATTATCATTAACATATAAATGAGCACGCCGCTGTTGTGATAAACATACCTTCAACCTTGAGCCGAGATCTTTCGGACACTCGATTCTATAGCGAGAATAGGGGACTGCGTAGTCTATATATTATACGTCATTGGGGACAAACAATAACATAACCCAACTAAATTTGATGTCAAACAAGGAGAGAGACTCTCTTTCCTTGTTTAATGTGGCCTCTTAAGATCGCACTTCCTGTCTAACAATATGTTTGCCCCCACTACCTTTACATTCCCTCTATTGTCTTTTTGCTCGATGGTCTTAGCACAGAATAATAAACAATCAGAAGGGCCACTCTCAGTTGTCGCCTTTGAAGTTTTTCAGCACGCGCGCCATGTTTTAGGAGGACACAGACATATGATTTGTGTGGTTATGTAATTGTTTATATTTATGTTTAATTATATTATATTTATGTTATTATATTTAACAATGTTAATATAATTGTATAGTATGTCTATGATTGCCGTAAGTCAAATAAACCTGGTTAATTTTTCCATGCACACCACATAAACAACACTAATTTCTTTAAAATCCTCCTAAAACATGGCGCAACGTCTGCCCGGAGGAGATGCGCGTACTTAATTTTCCGTGGAGAGTGGGTATTCTGTTTGTTTATTATTCTGTGGTTATAGTATCATCACAGAATACTAATGGTTTGTGAGTGTCAGTGTCATATCTCCTCTCTTCTCTCTTAATCCTTAATCCATGATACTATGAATAACAAGATAGGATCTTCCCGTAGCTCAAAATCGGTCGGGTTCGCGCATGCCGTCATTGGAGACTAGAATTTGAATTCTTGTTAAAGTTAAATGAGATTTGTATGCATTCTGTGATGAAATTACTAGACGAAAATAAGTTAAGAGGTTTATTAATTACAATAATCGTACACATAAGGATATCTCCAAACTATTTATTAAACATTATTTATTGATATATACAAAAACTGACATTTCGAACGTGCAAGTCTCCAATGACGTCACAAAAACATGCGCAATATCTTATCTTATAGTCATAGTATCATGCCCATCGAGCAATAAGACAAAAGAGGGAATGTAACGGTAGAAGGGGTAAACATATTGATAGACAGGAAGTGCCATCTTGAGAGGCCACTTTAGACAAGGATAGACTGTCTCTTTCCTTGTTTAAGAAGTCAAATTTAGTTTGGTTATGTTATTGTTTGTCCCAACTGTCACATGAAATTTTATTAATATTGAAGTTTTTTACCAATTGTGTCACTTTTTAGACTATTATCGTTAATATTTAATTAAAACTTTCTTGTCTGAAAAATATTTTACAGGTATTGTTAACAAGTGTTGGAAAATTTAAATTTAGCGCCTTTGCATTTCCGGATATGTCCGCCATCAGAGGCCACTTTTTTGGTCTCCTTTTCATAACGATTAGATTCCCTCTTTTGTCTTATTGCTCGATGATCATGCCTTAATCTACTCTACGACAGGACAGGCGACAGGCTGAGTTGAACACGATAAAACGCTAACCTCTGTCATGTTTATGTATTTAGGAGTAATATAAAATGTTTGGTTTTAAATTTTAAAACGATATTTTGACTTCAATTTTTAAAGAGTGAATCAATCTAAATGGCTCCTTTAGAGTCAACTAATAACAACGGTAATGAGGAACCTGGTCCAATAAATCCAATTGTGGGGATCATTTATCCACCACCAGAGGTGAGAAGTATCCTTTTGCAAAAAATACCACAATTTTTACCTGCATTTATAAATTTTTACATGTACATTTATCCTATGAGGTATTTTCTAAGTAATAATACTAGGAATAGTATGTAATAAATTGTTCATAATGATATTGTATCTGCCAAAAAGTTTAATTAATTAGTTGGGTCTATCTGGAGAAATCAAATCAAGTTATGTTCTCTTTTAACCTTTAATTGCAGACATCGCATTATTGATTATTACAACGTAACTACAGACGCCCAGTATTTTTAGGGCTCCTTATAAAATAGTCAAATATTTTAAAAAAATATATGCCTTATATATTTTACTGAAGTCTCTGGATATGCGAGAACTGGTGGAAAGAGTGATATTAATACACGATTTTTAAAGAATAATCTCATCTGTGGCAGATGTATTTCTGTTATCTCTTCCAAAAACAATTTTCACATAGTTGATAGTTGTTTGGTTTGAGTGATTGGCAGATGTACATTTTTTTCTCGAAGTATTGGAAATTTTTGTTTCTGCAGCAAATCTCATCTGTGGCAGATGTATTTCTATTATCTCTTCCAGAAACAATTTTCACATAGTTGATAGTTGTTTGGTTTGAGTGATTGGCAGATGTACATTTTTTTCTCGAAGTATTGGAAATTTTTGTTTCTGCAGCTCTTTGTGTACTGACATCCTTTGTAACTGGCAGGATGGTTTTCTAGACAATTTACACATTGAACATATTTGGATGACTTTCTGCAGAAAGGAACCAACCCACAAATAGCTCAAGCTGAGAAAATTGAAGTTAAAGTTTCTGCAACAAAAAAAATTGTAGCTCATTTAAATTTATTTGACGAAAGTTCCTAAGTGAGTTAATACATTAGAATTTATGTTTCTTTAAAATGTTATTGTTAAAATAATAGTACAGCTATGCATATATGTATAAAAGTGGGTTGGTTCCTTTCTGTATTTTAAAAAATTAACTCTTTAGAAAAGTTTTATTAAAATTATTACATTTAATACAACAATACTAGTATATAAAAATATAATTGTAATGCAAAGCTAAAATACAAAAATATATTCCCAAAACGGCTAATGTGTCATGGTTTCATCTTCAAGGTCACCCTCAATATCATCAATAATTTCAGAGTCCCCAGTTAAACGTTTGTAATATTCTTGAGCATCACCTGGTATTAAATGCATGACAGATTTTATGTCTTCTAATTTTGGAAGATAAATAGGCTTCCCGTTAGGCCACATTTTTGTAAGTAAATGGCTGAAATTATTGGTTACTGCTGGCCTTCCATGTTTCTTACCGATGTAAACTTCAGAATACTTTTCATCTGCAAAGCTTGTTTTCATGAAAATATAAAATGGTTTTGATTTATCTAGCATTATCTCCCTTGTTTTTAACCAATTAACTTTTTGTTTGTTTATGTCAACTTTTCTGTTACAGATTTTTTTTCTGCTTCTATTGTACCAAAAAAATCAGAAGAAGTCATTCTAATGACATCAAATTTGTTTCTATTTCTGCAATTTTTCATTACAGTTATGTAATCTTCGGGCAGATATAACCTTTGTTGATGTTTGAGTGCAGACTCTATGTCTGAAAAATTGGCATCGTTTGGTAAGAGACTATGCCCTGATATTAGGAACCGGATGTAGATCTTATTAAGTGATGTATGAGTTTCAAGTGCAGCTTTCATCATTAGAGTTAATTTTATATTTCTATTTTGGCCCCCACACGAATCAGACCATAAAATTAGTTCATCTATGTCGTTTGATACATGATTTTTTATATATTTTAAAAGACATGATCCTACCTCTTGGGAACCACGACCAGCTTCATTTTCCATCCATACATTGCACGATCCCTTTTTGCTCTTTCCAGAGTAAATACCTAAGTTGTACAGCCAAATTTGCCTTTTATAAAATAAAATTCCAGTTGGTAGGCGTGGAAGGGGCAAAGTCTTTTCCAAATCAAATGTTAAACATTCTACTTTTTTATTGTTAGTAGCAGTATCTAAATCTTGTTTCATTTTTGCTCTGGCTTCTTGCCAATTTTTGATATGAGTATCATGTTCATTTACTAACATTACTTTTACTTCATTATCTTGAGTGCTATCTATTTTTGCCTGATAAGAATCGCAGGTGTTACAGGTGTCTTTTTTGAGACTCTTAAATTTTAAATTAAACTCGGTCATTAAGATACATCTGTACACGACAAAGCTAACAGGATTATTAGTATCTTCTTTGTATTTATTATACATTAGTTTTAGTGTCATTTCCGGGGGCAAAAATTGTTCATCACCACACTGCAATCTGCGATAATGGCTCACATATTTTGGAATCCTGTCAATTTGATTAATTATTTCATGTTTTCGTTCTTGTGAAATTTTATTTTTTCCACCATGTTTTTGTCCTCTTTTGTCTGTCAATGTAGAGGATCTAAGTTTTTTCATTGCAGTATCAACACGCTTAGTAGAAATTCCCAAAGTATTAATAAATAAGTTGTGACATACCTGTATTTTATTTAACATGTATTTCCTTGAATATGTACGATTGGAATTTGTCTCACCGTAACTTCGTTTTTTATTGCTTTCATGAACCAATGCACCAATGAAGGCTGTTTGAGCATTGCAATCTCCCAACTCCCAATACATGTTAAATTGTTCTTCTCTATCATTGGTCAGTACTTTTACGTAGCAATTCATTTTACAAGAGCAATTAAAATCTTTGAATTCTTTTTTCTCAACAGTTTTGCCTTTGTAGTTATAATGAACATTTTGTAAATTTCTCTGACGCTTATTTTCTTCTCTTGTTAAACCCAGATATTTTCGTTTTCGTCCCTTCTTTGGCCTACCTGTATTGACTGGAGTAGAGTGTATTACCTGTTCTAGCATTTCTTCTTTGATTTCCAAAGCTACATCACCTTCCTGATAATGTTCTTCATTATGTCATATTAGTTTGATATTCATCCTCTAATCTGAATTCTGGATCTACGTCAGAATCATAGCCATCATACCCATTATCTTGATCATTGTTTGAAGATTCCATCTAATTTAAAAAGAAAAAAAGTCAATTAAATGCTAACATAAATAGTCCTGGCAAAACTCATTTTCTGCTTTTGAAACATTTAAAGCCAAATTTAGTATATGTTGTCCTCTGGAAGATCTATAACTCATTGTTTAAGAAATGTGTTGCCACCCAATAGTTATTAAAAACTAATAATTTGCAATATTTTCACTAATTTATTATACGTATTATACCCTATTATACTTTATTATACACAAACATGCAGTCTTAGCATTACCACGTGACAAACAAAAGTATTAAGTCATTGAAGAAAGGAACCAATTGTTTTATACTACCTAATTCCCAAATTTTGCAGAATAGAACCAACCCACTTGGATCTTTTCTGCAGATTACTTCCTTGGGGACTGAAGTAATGTGGGTTGGTTCACTACCAGATAGATGGCAGCATACACTTGCTGTGGCCTGGTTCCATTCTGCATATAATTTTTAATGACTATTCAAAGCGGTACTATGAATACAGCAAAAAAATGTATTTTGTGGGTTGGTTCCTTTCTGCAGAAAGTCGTCCATTTTATATTCTTTTTTTTTACATTGAGATGATAGGTGATGCCCACACATTTTACACAGCTCAAACTCCTGTAGCAATAATTGTGTGTGTGGCCAAAATGCTGACATCTTTGACGTTGGGGTAGTTCCCTTTTTGGATGTGGTGGTTAAACTGTGACAATAGAGTTGAGTCATTTTGTAATATCATATATACCTTTATTTACTGTGAATAGCTAATTCTATACTAAATAGTGGCAGATCTTTCTTTGTGCCTCTTGGTTTGATGTTGGAGATGTTCAGTGCTGTATGTCCATGCAGTAGCAATGTTTTTTTAATATCATCTGGATCTGTTGAAGGCTGTAAATTACGTATAACAACTCAGAATCCACGGTTTTGTTTTAGTTGGTATGTATGGTACTTCATATTTATTCTACTTAAGATTTTACAATTAATGAATAGTTTTTGGATGAGTCAGCTTGAACTTGAATTTAGTTGTTAGCCAGACATTTTAAAGTATATTTACCTGGAGATATCTGCTGTAGTAATTCCTGTAATGGTTTGATACACTTGACATTTTGTATGTAATAAGTATTCAACTAGTGAATTCAGAGGTTTAATCTGTCATTCAGGTTGGCAAAATAAAAAAAAAAGAAGTCACCTACTCAATAAGTTTATCGAAGACATTTCACTTTATATTTCTAAAGCTTCATCAGTTCTCTAAAATACAATAGATGACATAGAGTTTATAAGAAATACAGATCTAATAGTTTATAACGTAAAACTCAATATGTAGTATATTAATGATGTTATTATATATGTACTGAAGTTTACTCATTATTTTGAACTAACTAAATAAAAAAAAACACAAACAAAGAACTCACAAACTTTGCAAAAAATAATATTCCTATTCGCAGATACAAAGATTTACAAAATTTTTAAATGAACATTTGGCTTCATTTAAAGATGGTTCTCCAATGAAGACAAACAAAACACTGATTTATTGCAATCTATGCAAACGAGGTGAACTTCTACGGGGGTCATTGAATTATTTGTTGGATGGGTGGATTTGTATGGTGGAAAAATTTTGATATATTTTTTTTTGTAATTTATGTTTTATGAAACTTAGAGATATGGAATGATAGTGTTATTATTTTGAATGGAAAATAAGGCTATTTTAAATGATGAATAATTGGTATTATTTATTTCGTAAGATGAGAGAGTGGTAAACCTGACTCAAATTGTTGATGTCGGTTCTTTTGTTTATTGCAGATGGGTTTTCGAGTATCTCACACATTTCAATAAAGGAGCGTTTCTGATGATTATTTTGTTTCGCCAGTATTTTAGTATTTGAGAATTCAATATGATGTTTGGTGGAAATGGCGTGTTGTGCAAGGGCACAAGAGGGTTTGGAAAGTCTAATGTCGCCTTTATGTGAAGTTATATGCCCTAGAAGTGATCGACTGGTCTGGCCAATGTAGCAGGAGTTGCATTCAGAAAAGGGAATCTGATAGACAACATTAGTGTGCTCTAACGAGCTTAGTGGAGTTTTAGGCTTGGGGAATAACTTTCCAATGGTTTTAGTATTTTTTAGGGATATTTTGACGGGTAAGTTTTTAAATAGTTTAGTAAGCTTGTTCGTAATTTGTGGGAAATAGGGAAGAGAAGTATATTTTGTGGCTGGTTTTGGGATTAACGGGGAATTGTTCGTCTGTATGCTATTGGATATGAAGGCTAGTACTACACCGTTAGGTGCTTCCGAAATAGAATGACCTTAGCTTTTAGAGAAAAGATATCTGTTGATGATGGATATGGGGTAAGAGTTATCAATGAGAATGGATTTGAATAAATCCAAAGATTCCCTCTTGTACCGCATATTGGTCAACGTGTGTGCTCTAAAGCTAAGAGCTTGTATAAGGTTATGTTTGTATCTCATTGGGTGTGTAGAGTGGTAATTCAAGAACCGGTTACTCGCCATTTCTTTCCTGTACCACGTAGTGCCCAATGTACTACTATGTGTGCATATGATTCGCATATCCAAAAAGGGTATGCTGTTATCAACCTCCAATTCACATGTAAATTGAAGGTGAGGATCAACGCTATTGAAGACTGATAAGGTGCTTAAAATCTTATCAGGTGTTGCTAGGACCAAGTCGTCGACATAACGCTTTACAAAGGGAACCTGGAAATCTAACTTACTGATACTCTCATTGATAAGGTCGTCGAGTACGAAATTAACTAGAATGGGGGAGATGGACGATCCCATGGGAGTTCCAAATTCATTAATAATTCCGAGAATGTTTCCCACGATACTGGACTGTGTGGTTGGATTTCATTCCAATGTTTCCGGAGTGACGTGACGACACTAGAGAGTGGGAGATTAGAAAACAGGGATACTACGTTGAAGCTTACTAAGACATATTCTCTTAGTAACTGATAATTATTGATAAACTCACTGAACTGGAAAGAGTCTACTATGATGAAATCGTTCTTGTAGTTGTATGCTTGTGAAAAAATGTCCGTTAAGAATTGGACTAAATTCGTGTTAGGAGCGTTTATTGACGATAATATCGGACGCATACTCAGTTGGGGCTTATGGATTTTAGGAAGACAGAACCTGGGGGCATAGCCATTACACTTATGGAGGGATTTGTATATATACATATATATATATATATATATAATATATATATATATATATATATATATACATATATATATATATATATATATATATATATATATATATATATATATATATAATATATATATATATATATAGGTAGTGGTTGTTCATCTCTTTGGTCTTCCAGCATTTCAACATCTTCACAAGGTTTATCATTTTCAAGTACCTCATATCTATTAGATGTATAAATAGATTTGCTCTGCCAATAATCTTTGAGTGTAGCTTGTTTTGAATCTTTTCAATTCAGGACTATCATTGCCATGTTGACATTTGTTGTAGTGGACTGATACCGATGCACTATCACTTTTTACCTCACCTGCATCTGGGAGGTCTTTTGTGCTTTATCCATTTGAAAGTTTGGTAAATTCGTATGTAGATGGTTGTTGGATGTTTTGAATTTTTCTGCTGTTTATCTAGTGAGTTATAACTGTCTTTTCGATTTCTTCCAGGTTAAGGAGTCTGAGCTAGGCAGAATTTTCTAATGGTTGGATTTGTGTCCTTGATGCATTGATAACTAGTTGGTTTTCACTTATCTACTTGGTGATCCATAGTTTTCTACTAATTACAACTAGGAATTATTAAGACACTCCGGCATATTTTGTTATTGACTATGGACGATTGCAGAGAATATCTTGAGGAGGCTAGGGCCCACAGTGTTTTAAAGCCAGAATGATGATTTTTAAAATATTTACCATTAGATGTAGTAGACCAACACATCCATTGTAACTCAACCTGTATAAGTGTAATGTTTTAATTGTTTTTAATTACATCTCCTAGTATTACTAATTCTTATTTTTAATCGTATGTAGTATTTCTGTGAAGATCTTCCATTATAACCTTGAAATTTATAAAATTTATATTATGGAAAATTAAGTCAATATATTTATATGTATAATGTCCTATACTTTATTCATTTTTTCACAACGCTGAAATGTAGTTTTTCCTGAACAGTAATAAAGATATCGTCGACAAAACTGCAAGTTTTGTTGCTAGAAATGGTCCAGAATTTGAAGCTCGTATTAGACAAAATGAGTTAGGAAACCCTAAGTTTAATTTTTTAAACAGTGGGGATCCTTACCATTCCTACTATCAACATAAAGTTAAAGACTTTAGGGAAGGAAAAGGTAGGTACTTTTAATTTGAATATATGAATGATTAAATCTCTTTTTCTAAAACAGGTAACTAGATGGATTAGGACACAAAAATGTTTGTCTAATTAGTAATACTTATTAACTTTTTCTTTACCCTTGCAGTTTGTATTTATTCACCTTAGTATAATTTCTTAAAAAAATTAAATTTCACAAGTAGAAAAAAAAGGCTGACTTCTCGTCAACAAAACATATAATAAAAACGACACGTGGCAATTAAGGAGTGCCAACAGAAGTGAATACTTCTTATAGTGTGTAATTACTATATGTGGGTTACTCAGGTCACTCAGGATTTACTTCTCCAAGGAAAAATTACTCACTCCATTGTGAGTATCATTAACTCACCAACATCATCATCATCATCATCAGTGGTGCTACAGCTCTAGTTGAGCCTTGACCTTCCCCAGTCTATTTCGCCAGTCGTTTCTGTTCATCGCCAACCGCTGCCAATTTGCCGCGCCGATTTTCCTTGCGTCCTCGTCCACACCGTCCCTCCATCTCAGTCGTGGTCTGCCTCTACTCCTATTTCCCACTGGGACCGATAATAGAGTTCGTCTGGGTGGGTAATTCTCATTTGCTCTTGACACATGTCCAGCCCATCTAAGCCTGCCTATTTTTATGAAGGATATTACATCTCTACCATTTACTATTTTTTTATATTTCTCGTACAATTCGAAATTATATCGCCTTCTCCAAATACCATTCTCACAGAATACGCCCATTATTCTTCTTAGTATCTTTCTTTCGAAGACGAGCAGAAGATTTGCGTCTGTTTTGGAGATGGTCCATGTTTCTGACCCATATGTCAGCACTGGTAGGATGAGTGTTCGATATATTATTAGTTTGGTTTTCTGGCTTAAGTTTCTGTTTTTTAGCTGCTTGCTTAGTCCAAAATAACATTTGTTTGCTACCAGTACCCTCCGTTTAACTTCTTCAGATGTGTCATTATCGTTTGTTATGAGAGAAGCCAAATATGTAAACTTATTTACTACCTCAAAATTATATTGGTCTATACTGAAGTTTTGTTCGGCGTTTCTAGCTCTATCTCTGTTATTTGGAATAGATGCTAGCATTTTGGTTTTTTCCTCGTTTAATTTTAAGGCCCATATTTTGTGCGGCTGTCAAGAAGGTGGAAGTCATCTCTTTAAGTCCTCGTGTAGTACGTGCAATCAAATCCAAATCGTCAGCGTACGCCATAATCTGCGTTGATTTATTAAAGATTGTTCCCCTATTGTGTAACTCGGCATCTCTTATAGTCTTTTCTAACGCTATATTAAAGAGAAGGCACGCCAGCGCGTCTCCCTGCCGTAACCCTGCATATGTTTCAAACGCTTGTGACATATCGCCTTGTATTTGCACTCTGCAGATCACTTTACTCATAGTTGTTTTTACGAGCCTTATTAATTTATGGGGAATGTTAAGTTCATTCATGGCTTCGTATAGTTTACCTCTTAGGACGCTATCATACGCTGACTTAAAGTCCACAAAGAGATGGAACGTGTCAATATTAAATTCATTGGTTTTTTCTAAGATTTGACGTAGCACAAAAATCTGGTCAATTGTTGACCTACCTGGCCTAAAACCGCTTTGATACTCACCAAGGATTTCTTCCACGTACGTACTTAAACGGCTGTACAGGGTGTTGGAGAATATTTTGTACATTGTATTCAGAAGAGTTATACCCCTATAATTTTTACATTCCAACAAATCTCCCTTTTTGTGTAGTGGACATATGATTCCAGTGCACCATTCCTCTGGCATTTGTTCTTCTTCCCAAACTTTGACTATTATGTTGTGAATTTGGTGCATAATGCTGTTACCTCCATGTTTGATGAGCTCTGCGGGGATTCAATCCACTCCTGGGGACTTGCCATTTTTGAGTCGTGTGATTGCGTCTTTCACTTCAAATATTGAAGGAGGTTCTACGTGAGTGTTATTTCTTGGTCTTTGGGGTGACGCATCATTTTCCACTTCGGTACCAAGTAGTTCTTTGAAGTGCTCAACCCATCTGCTTTGTACTGCGTCAGCGGTACTGACTATATGTCCATTTTTGTCTCTACACATCGTCAGCCGTGGTTTAAATTCTTTTCTTGTCTTATTTAGGATATTATAGAACTTTATAGTTTCATTTTGCCCCTTTAATGATTGAAGCTCTTGCATAATCTGGTTTTCGAAGGTCCGCTTTTTCCTTCGATGTATGCGTTTTTCCTCCTTCCTAAGATCTTTGTACATTTGCTCCTTATCCCGTGTTCTTCTTTGTTGCATAAGTTTATATGCATAATTTTTTTCTTTTAGTGATATCTTCACATTCATCGTCGAACCAACTGTTGCGTGGAGTGGATTCTTCTGGTCCTCACCAACATACAGACTCAAAAAATACTTTTCAAACCAATGGGCTTTTAATAGTCCCCATGATTGCTTAACTGTATGTACATGTATTGATGCATTTCAATTCAAGTGAAATATAAATATTTAAATTTTCACCACTACAGAATATTCCTATACCCCATCTCTCTCGTGGGCAGATGTCCACTCAGAAAGTTACTTTAGGCCTCAGAAATCATTATCCATTCGATGTTTGATTTCATTTATAATGTTACTATGTCTTTTCTATCCATTTTGTCTCTCAAATTTTATTGCACTCTATAATATCTTACTATTTCCTCTCCCCTTATAAGAATGTGCAAAGGAAGCAAGTATTTGCACCTTGCTTAGTTTGGGGATGGTACTTTTGGCCACCATACCATTGATCCATATGTAATTGTTGGTTTTACCATCACGTTATAAATCCATTTCACGTTTTTTCTATTACTGCGTCTGGCTCTTGGTGCTTCTTCCATCTGTTGATTCCTAGTAATTCTCGAGTCTATTACCTCAAAGTACTTTATTTTACTCACCAGATTTAGATTTCTACTATTCAGGTTCAGAGGAACTAATCCCTTCAAATTCCTCGTGATAAATTTTATGATTTTGGACTTCAGGGGCTTATGTTAAACCCTACATTTGAGAGCCGTTCTGTAACTACCACATTACCATATTCCACAAGAGAGAAGGTAATAGTCCCTCTGCTTCTAACCTTTGGCTATCTGTGCTTACACTGTATTCCCCAGTAACGATGTGTATATCGCATAGCTCCTCAGCAAGCAGTCTATCCATGTGTAGCTTGTTTCATATATTCGTTTTAAGCGAATTCAGAATGTTACTTCATCATCTGTACAATATGGGGATCTGCTATTTCCGCAGAGAATTATGTTTTATACTCATACTCTCCCGAAATATCAGACTTTTGACCAATACACCTAACTTAATGTGCATATCGAAAAGTTTTTCTAGAGTAGGTAAAGAAATAATAAATCAGACTTACTCACAATCAATTTAATTTAACTATCCGACGACCGGTTTCGCTTTCTACAATATGCAAAGCATCTTCAGGTCTCGGTACAAAGTTAAACAAATGCTGAAATGATAAAAACCCATATTAGGGTGTTGTCTAATAAAGATAAACAAATTAGATGCTATAAATTACAATAATTATGCCAATATTACCTGTCTGTGGTTTTATTTAAATGATTGAGTTGAATAAAAGGTATAAATATTTTTTAAAAAAGTTAAAAGGACAAGGTAAGGCCCACAAGTTGTCATAAAATCTCTTCTATTGGAATAAATTAATGAATGAGCAAATAAATAAATGAAATAAAATAAAATTACTTACATGCCGGTACTCTATTAATAGATGGATGGTAGAACATGTTTGAAACTACTGTATATTGTTGAATGGAGAACTCAATACTATTATTGCAGTTGTTTGACAGTAAACGGGAAGTTCTTGAGGAGGTAGATTTGATCCAATGAATTTGAGATGTGTGTGAGATTGTTTGTTAAATGTAAGTGGTGTAATATATTATTGTGTTATTAAAAGTTATTTATACTTATTCCAGAGATATATTTTTGAAATGTGTGTTATTTATTGAGTAATTGTTTTATGAAGGTGACATTTATGACAATGAATAAGTGTAGATGTAAAATTGTGTGGGTGTGCAATTATTTCCAAACTTGTAGTTATCAAATTACTTTGATAAAGTTCTATTGGCAATGTGTTAATTATTGGAATGGTCAAGTGAATAAAATGAATAAAATGGTAAAATACAAACACTTAAGGATAATTTAAACACACTAAAAACAGAAAACACTTAGAAGGGACGAAACAAACATTGAATTTAAAAGGGGGAGGACTTTAAAGCACTACATCATAGTCTTTGGCACAATAACTACAAGTTTGGAAATAATTGCACACCCACACAATTTTACATCTACACTTATTCATTGTCATAAATGTCACCTTCATAAAACAATTACTCAATAAATAACACACATTTCAAAAATATATCTCTGGAATAAGTATAAATAACTTTTAATAACACAATAATATATTACACCACTTACATTTAACAAACAATCTCACACACATCTCAAATTCATTGGATCAAATCTACCTCCTCAAGAACTTCCCGTTTACTGTCAAACAACTGCAATAATAGTATTGAGCTCTCCATTCAACAATATACAGTAGTTTCAAACATGTTCTACCATCCATCTATTAATAGAGTACCGGCATGTAAGTAATTTTATTTTATTTCATTTATTTATTTGCTCATTCATTAATTTATTCCAATAGAAGAGATTTTATGACAACTTGTGGGCCTTACCTTGTCCTTTTAACTTTTTGAAAAAATATTTATACCTTTTATTCAACTCAATCATTTAAATAAAACCACAGACAGGTAATATTGGCATAATTATTGTAATTTATAGCATCTAATTTGTTTATCTTTATTAGACAACACCCTAATATGGGTTTTTATCATTTCAGCATTTGTTTAACTTTGTACCGAGACCTGAAGATGCTTTGCATATTGTAGAAAGCGAAACCGGTCGTCGGATAGTTAAATTAAATTGATTGTGAGTAAGTCTGATTTATTATTTCTTTACCTATTTGAAATGGACTCACACAAGCAACAAATTCATGATTTTTCTAGAGTCTTCAGTACAAGTGGTATCATGTTTATCGGCCTCAGGGATTTAGTTTGATTCTGTCCGGTTTTACCAGGTTTTGGTATAAAAGCTACCCTTATGCTTTTGGTATATACCCCAGTCCTAAGCCGGCCTGTAGTATCATACAAATTTTTTTATACAAGTGGTGATTTATCTTCTGTATAAATATTGTATAACGGTGATTTATATGGCTCTATTGACCATTTGATTTTGTTATGATTTACCACTTCTTTGTTCACACATCAGTTTTTCCTAGAACCAGTTACAATCTACAGTCCAGTCTGCTGCTTCTTTCAGAGTCTCTTCACCATTCTTAGTGTACTCACCTGACTCTTTAGACTTTGACTATATTCAATTTTTGTCTGACATCTGCCCTTTGATTTACAAGGTTGTTATTCCACTAGAGCACTTTCCTGTTGGAAGTACATCAGACAATATTATTCGAACATTGACATGAGTCAATGTTTCCTAGACGCTTTTGTTTCCCCTCTTTCTCGAGGTTGCGGGTGCATTCCACAGGTCCTTTATAGTCCTCGCCACGAAGTCAGCGACTGGAACTGCCTCTCTGATCGTTTCTGTTATTTTTTTACTGATAAGCAAGATAATACAGCTTATCTTCTGAATGATCTCTTTTTAACTCTCTGACCTGAAAAAAGCTGAGAGGTAGGCTCAGAATAATATTTAAGGACCAAGTGAAGGAAAATATTAGGATGCCAAACTGAAAACCCAAGGTGAACAATAGGAAGGAATGAAAATTGACCTTGGAACAGGCTCAATCCCACAAAGGGTTCTAGTACCATGCACGATGATGAGTAGTCAATCATTGTATTTATATTTTCTTTTTTTACAAAAAAATGTGAGGTAATCAATTTTAATATTTATTAATGATGAAATTTAGCCAAATTTGAATATACGCTCATTTCGACCATATCTTGAAAATAAAAACCCGAGAACGTATAATTGCTGATTCCTATATATATAAAATACAACTTTCCTCTAAGAATGTTCAAAAATTGAAATATCATTGTTTTAGGGCAAGATCCTTCCTCTGGATTAACTCAAGCCGTCTCAAAACTTTCTGTTACTGCATCAGCTCAACAGAAACAGCAGGAAATTTTAAAGCAGGTAGAACAGCCTTTTATACCTAAGGAAACACCTGCAGAATTTGAATTTATAGCTGATCCACCATCAATTTCAGCTCTGGATTTGTAAGTCTACTAGATATTTTTCGTGTCATAATTCATTTCATTTTAAGTTTCAACTTACTAATAATTTAACTCATTCTTATAGTGTGATTCTTAGATCTCTGAGTAATACATTAATCGCAATTATTTTTTTTAGTCTCTTTTCTTTTCACAGAACTTTAAAGTAAGAAAATAATAAATCGCTTGGTTTTGCCTCTATACAACATAATATATCAAACAAAATTATCAATATGACGAAGGATGGTAATGAATTCTCCCACTGAGAATTTAGTTATCTGCAACTGACAGCTTATTTGTCGTGGTTTCTTGTTTTTGATTTTTGTATGTTTTCGACCCATTTTCGTTAAGTTTATATTTTTTTTAAAAAGAGTTGTTATAACGACTTACACTTATAATTACCTTTGTGCTCGACTTCTTGTTTTAACTCTTTATTTATAAGCTAATGGTAAGAAGTAATATTTTTAAATATTAAATTAACATTTTGGCACCTTTTCTAATCCTTACAGTGACCGACGTTTGACTTAAATGATATTTAATTCACATAAAACAAACGAATTATGACGATTGTGCAACGATTCAACAAACCAAATATAATATTATGTACTGCACGTTTTGAACGAAATATATATTTAATATTTATTGTTTCTTTTAGAGATATTGTTAAGCTTACAGCTCAATTTGTAGCTAGAAATGGTAGAGCTTTTCTAACACAATTGATGAACAGAGAACAAAGAAATCTACAGTTTGATTTTTTGAGACCCCAACACTCATTATTTCAATACTTCACCAAATTACTGGAACAGTATACAAAGGTAATCCATGTAATACTTTTTTAAATTTGAAAGTCTTTCAAGTAATAGTAAATTTAAACTTAAATTTAAATTTAAATATTATGTATAAATGGTGTTATGGAAAAAAAAAGAGTCAACCCACACAAGTCTGATTTTGAGATAAATAGCTTTTTAATCTCCTACAAATCACATTTTTTATCGTAGTATACGTATAGGCTTAAAAGATGGCACTAATATATTCAAGAGCTATTTAAAGACGAACGAACTGAGATAATACTAAAGCAGGAAAAGTTCGACAACGGCCCAGACATAACAGAAGATGTACCTGTAGACATAATACGGTTAATAGAAGAACAGCAAATTGGAATGTTCGTCGACTTATTTAATACAATATACAGTACAGGAATCATTCCCAGAGGTTGGCTGATATCAACATTCATAACACTACCAAAAAAACCAAATGCAAAAGAATGCCAGGCAGGGCTGTGTCCTGTCTCCTACTTTGTTTAATTTGTATTCAGAGGAAATAATCCAGGAAGCACTAGAAGAACTAACTATGGGAATAAAAGTAAATGGCCGACCAATCAATAATATACGGTTTGCCGACGACACTATTTTATTGGCGGAATGTCTTGAGGATTTACAACAAATGGTTGACAGAGTGGTAGAAGTCAGTGAAGAAAACGGACTGTCCCTAAACACAAAAAAGACACAATTTATGGTAATTACAAAAGCCCAACAGCGCCAAGAAAGCATAACAATACATGGAGAACAAATTAAAAAAGTTGAAAAATATAAATATCTGGGTACAATAATTAATGAAAATAATAAGTATACAGAAGAGATTAAGGCAAGAATAGGACAGGCAAGAAATTCAACAAACTGAAAAAAGTACTCTGCAGCAGGGACATTTCAATTTCTTTAAAGATAAAACTTCTGAGATGCTACGTGTTCTCCGTATTATTTTATGGGTTGGAGGCTTTGACTTTAAAGCAAGATGTTTCGGACAAATTGGAAGCCTTCGAGTTATGGGCCTACAGAAGAATATTAAGAATAAGTTGGGTAGATAGAGTCACGAATGTCGAGGTGTTGAGAAGAATGGGTAAATATAAAGAGGTCTTAAAAACAGTTAAAGTCAGAAAACTGCAATATCTGGGACATGTTATGAGGGGCGAGCGTTATAACTTGTTGCAATTAATAATGAAATTAAGAATACAGGGTAGAAGGAGTCGCGAAAGAAGACGCATCTCCTGGTTGAATAATTTGAGAGCTTGGTTTAACTGCACTTCTGCTGACCTCTTTAGAGCAGCGGCGTCGAAGGTGAGAATTGCCATGATGGTTGCCAACCTTCTTAGAGGAGATGGCACGTGAAGAAGAAGAAGATACGTATACTATGATATATCAGTAAAATTTGAAATTAATTTTTCAACGCAACTAAAAAATATATCAATTTTTTTCTATGTAAAAGCATATGGGATAAATCCTTTTTGCTTTTTAGGTTATACTAGAAAGTAATTTTTTTTAAACACTTCCTCCTAAATCCTTTCCCCTTCGTAAGGATGTAGTGGCGTCATGTAATTTGTTTGACTATTTCTGTCCAATTATTTCTCTCCTGTGCGTGTTGTTTTGCTTCGGAGAATGAGTAACCAGTCATCTCCTTTATTTGGTCCGACCATCGTACTGGAGATCTTCCTTTGGATCTTTTACCCCCTACGTTACCTTCAACTAGGTTGCAGGCTTGAAGCCGCAACAAGGTAAGTTACTATACGATGCGAAAGGAGAGACACCTCGAGCATGCATTGTATATGGTAACGAAGTAAACTGTACACTGATTCCGGATCTTTGCTCCGGAGACTTTGCTACAGGTATTTTAACCGCTTCCACCGAGGAAGGTAGTAAAAGATGGTTGGTCTGTTCTGCCTACTTCGCTGGAGAGAAGGTCTTCCGCCCAGGCATAGTAGAGGACGTTATAACCTACAGTCGAAGGGAGAACCTTCATCTAATACTGGGATGTGATGCCAATGCCCACCATCTGGCATGGGGGAGTACGAACATCAACAGTCGAGGTGAGTCTTTACTACAGTTCATTTTAAGCATGGGTTTAGAAATAGCCAATATAGGAAATAAACCTACCTTCGTTACGGCCAAGCGCAAAGAAGTCTTAGATGTAACACTTTGCAGTGAAAAAACGTACGATACTATAAAGAATTGGCATGTGTCAGAGGAACCTTCATGTTCCGACCATAGGCACATTCGATTCGATTTAATTACTTTGACTCGAATGGTGGCAAGGTTCAGGAACCCGAGAGAGACGGATTGGGAAGGTTATAGAGGCTCACTCGAGAAGTCTCTTGAGGGAGGAATCGGCACCATAAAAGATACGGAAGATCTCGAACTGACAGTCGAAACGGTGAGGGGAGCTGTTCTGGCCGCTTACCAGGAGAATTGTCCAGAGAGAGAAAAGAAAGGAAAGAAAAACACACCCTGGTGGAATAAACACTTACAAAAGCTTAGGGCAGATGTAAGAAGGCTATTCAATAAAGCCAAATTCAACCAGGACTGGGCCATTTATAGAGGAAAACTGACGCAATATAATATGGAGATCCGAAAAGCCAAAAGAGACTCGTGGCGAAAGTTCTGCGAGGAAGTCAAACAGGCTCCCGCATGTTCCAGAATCCACAAGGTCCTGGCTAAGGATGGTATTGCGAATCAGGTCGGCCTCTTGAAGAAAGAGGACGAAACGTATGTAGAAACCCTGGAGGAAAGCTTAATAATGCTCACCAAGGTACATTTTCCCAGCTCATCCATTGACAATAATCCTTCGGTAGAGGTGGCTCATCCCAGAAGGCCTACTAAGGCGAACTGGAAATTAGCTACCGACATCACGAGACCGGAAAAAGTCAGGTGGGCCATCAATAAATTCCAGCCATACAAATCACCTGGAATGGACGGGATTTATCCAGTCTTGCTACAGAAGGGACAGGATGTGATCATCCCGCATCTAACAAAGATCTTCAAAGCTAGTTTGGCATGGAGATATATTCCAACCGCATGGCGATGGGTGAAAGTCACATATATCCCCAAGGTTGGTAGGGTAATGGACCAGACCCCCAAGTCATACAGACCAATAAGTCTATCCTCTTTCCTAGCAAAAACGTTGGAAAGATTGATAGACAGGTATATTAGGGACGAAGTGCCGATGGAGAATCCACTTAGCGATCGCCAATATGCATACCAGCCAGGAAAGTCAACTGACTTGGCGCTGGATGATCTTAACAGACTGCTCTCAAAGTCGCTAGATGACAAGGAGATAGCGGTGGCGACGTTTCTGGACGTGGAGGGAGCGTTTAATAACGTCTCCTTCGAGTCTGTAACGAACGCGCTTAAAAGGAGAGGAGTTCCTGCCTTCATATGCGAGTGGACAAAGGCGACCTTAACAAACAGGATCATTGTGTCCTCGTTAGGTGAAGCCACTATTGAAGCGAAGGCAGGAAGCGGCTGCCCACAAGGAGGAGTTTTATCCCCATTACTGTGGGCTACGCTTATGGACGACCTACTTAATACACTGTCCAGGGAGGGTTTTTACTGCCTGGGTTATGCGGACGATTTGGTAATTGTAGTCCGAGGACGCTTTACCAAAATAATTTCGGAGAGACTTCAAGTCGCTCTGAGGATGGTGGACAGCTGGTGTGAGGAAGAAGGCCTGAAGGTTAACCCTAAAAAAACATCTGTTGTTCCCTTCACCAGGAAAAGAGCACTGCAAGGCTTACAACCACTAGCGCTCAAGGGAGTAGAAATCCCATTCACAAGTCAGGCCAAGTACTTAGGTGTAATATTCGACCAGAGGCTGACATGGAATGCACACATTCAGAAAGTCACACAGAAGGCCACTATGGCTCTGAACACATGTAGACGAATATGTGGTAAGAATTGGGGGTTAAATCCTAAAATGAACCTCTGGTTATACACAAGGGTTATAAGGCCCATGATAACTTATGGTTCAGTGGCGTGGTGGAACAAAACGCAACAGTCCGGGGCGATTCGATTGCTTAGTAGCACACAAAGGCTTGCATGCTTGAGTGTTACAGGAGCCATGAGAACAGCCCCAACGGACGCGCTAGAAGTTCTGCTAAACCTACTACCTCTACATATATACATACAGAGTGAAGCCAGATCAACAGTACATCGGTTGATCCAAGGCCAAGCTCCAATAAGTATGATGCAGGGAGCTGATAACTTAAGGCTATACCAGGACATAAAGGCACACCCCGTTCTAGGAATGCCTGTAGACCGAATGGTTACGAGGTATAGTTTTAACAAAAATTTTCAAATTACAATACCAAAAAGAAATGACTGGGAAACTGGTCCGCCGCTAACAGCAAACTCAATATGGTATACGGACGGCTCCAAAACGGATATAGGTACGGAGGCTGGAATATATGGCATAAAACCAAGGACGGAAGTCCGGGTATGTCTAGGAACATACGCGACCGTATTTCAAGCCGAATTAGCTGCTATACACAGGTGCGCTATGGAACTAATCGGCCGAAATGTAGATAACGACTCCATCGTTATCTATTCGGATAGTCAAGCGGCTCTAAAGGCTCTCAGTTCGGTACAGGTCTATTCATGGCTGGTATGGAACTGTTTGGATGTCCTCTTTCAGGTAGGAAGTCGAAACAGGGTGACACTTGCCTGGGTGCCGGGACATAAGGGCCATCGTGGCAACGAGAAGGCCGATGAATTGGCCCGAGAAGGCGCATCTACGCCACTGGTTGGTCCGGAACCCTTCTTTGGAATCGCAAATACGATAAAAAGGGCAGCCATACACAAATGGGTGCAACAGAAGTCTCTTGAGTGGTGGAACAACTCACCAGGACAGAGGCAGGCCAAACAGTTCATCAAAGAACATTCGGCTAAATTTACAGCAGACTTACTTTCGCACAGACGCAGGACTGTCAGAATGATAGTGGGTCTGCTCACTGGACACTGTAGACTCAATAGACACTTGAGTCTCATAG